CCAAGTTGTGTCATATGCCTTCTCAAGGTCAAAAAATATGGCAATAACTGAGTGATTATTCGCAAAGGCATTACGAACATACATATCTAAGCGTAGTAAGGGGTCTATGGTAGAACGACCCTTATGAAAGCCATATTGACTAGCGGAGAGACTGTTGTGTCTCTCTAAATACCACATTAAACTTCAATTTACGAGACGTTCCATCACTTTGCAAACTGCACTAGTAAGAGCGATGGGACGATAGTGGGAGGCATCATGTCCTGTAGTACCCGGTTTGTGGAAAGGGAGATTTCCACAGCTGGGAAAGAACTCCTTGTGCCCAAATAAGATTGAAGAGGTGTAAGAGGACTACAAGGGCTGACCGATGTAAATGTTGTAACATACGAATATGAATGTCGTCAGGCCCAGCTGCCGATGATCGGCAAGCTGAGAGCGTTGCCTCTAGTTCTTGAAGTGTAAAAGGCACATTATACTGTTCTCTGAGAAAAGAAAAGTCCAAGGGTACTAACTCTCTGGCAGACTTTGAGGAAAGAAACGAGGGGCATAGATGGAGCCCTCGGGAAATACGGACCAGATGTGTGCCAAGTTCAATGGCAACGTCGAGAGGGTTTGCTACATCAACACCAGCGACCCGTAGAACAGGAGCCGGGTCAGGAGAGTATTTACCACTCAATTTCCTCACTTTTTTCCAGACTGCACTCATAGAAGAAGCAGAGGTGATGGTGGAAACAGTCTCGCCAACAAGTGTGTTTAGCTTCACGGATGACACGGCGAGCGATCGCACGCTTCTGCTTAAAATCAAGAAGTCTCTCAGCGGTTCTATTGTACCGGTACCTGCCCCATGCAGCGCGTTTCAAACGTACTGCACGAGCACAAGCAGGAGACCACCAAGGCATGCACTTCTGAGAATGCCTGCCTGAGGTTTGGGGTATAGAATGAGAAGCTGCGGTATAAACTGACGTCGAGAAGAGGTGTAGGAGCTCATCAATGGAGGGTGAAGAAGGAACCTCACTAAAAGCAGTGAGGAGTGAATAAAGATCCCAATTTGCCCGATCAAATTGCCAGCGAGGGCTACGGAAAGGTGGTGAATAGGAAGGAGAAGTAAGAATGATTGGAAAATGATCGCTGTCATGCAAGTCCGGTAGAACAGACCAGGTGAAGTCTAGTGCAGTGGAGGAAGAGCAGACTGATAGATCGATGCAAGAGAGAGTATGAGTACGAGGATCAAAATGGGTGGGAGTACCCGTATTTAAAACATGGAGGGGGTGAGAGGCGAGAAAAGCCTCCAACTGGATGCCACGTGAATCACAATGAGACCCCCCCCCCCAGAGGAAATGGTGGGCATTAAAATCAAGTAACAGAGGTGGTGGTGGTAAGGATGAAACAAGAAAGGCAAAGTCTGGGATAGAAAATGCTCGAGAAGGAGAGAGATATAAAGAACATATTGTAAACCACTTATTCAAGTGGATACGGGCTGCAGTGTTATGCAGCGACGTATGGACAAAGAGTTGACAGTACGGAATATCATTGCGTAGAAGAAGGGCACTTCCATTAAAGGTCCCATCTGAGAAAGGATCCGAAGAATACAATAAATTATAGCCTGAGATAGGTTGGAAAACAGCCGAGTGTAATTTTGGTTCTTGTAAGCAAGCACCAACAGGGGAAAACCTGGAAAGCAACATCTGAAGCTCACCCAGATTACCCCTGAGGCCGCGGATATTCCACTGTAAATAGGCCATGATTGGCGATGAAGAAAATACCAGGAATCTGTAGGTAAAGGCACCTACGGACTAGAGGGGTTAGAAAAAAAAGTCAACGTGTGGTGGCATTGGAAGACATTCAAGCAGTGAAGAATGGGGTTGTGAAGATGGAGGAGAGGGAAGAGAAGGAACAGGAAGTGAATCGGTGTCCATTGAAGGTTTAGTCTCTGCAATATATTCTGAAATGGCTTCAAGTGTTTCTGAATTCAAAGATGTATGGGAGACCATATTGGAGATAGGAGGAGGGTGAGTAAAGATTGGGACAGTAATGGACTATACCAAAGTAGAGGGAAGAGTGTAAGGGACTGGAGATGAAGTGTGGGGGGAGGGACAGAAGAGGCAGAAACCTGGGAGGTGGCAGAAGAGGAAGAAACTTGGGAGGGGACGGGGGTGGAAGGCATAGTACGAGGAGGAGGGTGAATCTCCACACTTGTAATAGAGCCAGAGAGGGGAAGAACTAGGTACAGAGACTGGAAAGGTAAAGTGTGGAGGTGGAAGAAGGGAAGGAAGGGGCAAAGAAGATTTGAGCAATGTGGATTTTTTTGACTTTTGAGAAGTAGAGGGGCGATTGGTATTAGGTGTCGTACGAGGTCTTGTCGATACTGGGGCTTGGGAAGAAGGACGCGAAGATGTGAGAACAGACCAAGTTGTAGTCGGGACGTCAGAGCCAAGGACAGCAAAAGGATTAGATGCCGGAGTGGCTATGGGAGGGGTAACAACAGAGGAGGCTGCAGAAGACGGGACCCCAGAAGTGGGGGGATGTTTGGAAACACGAGAATAAGAAACACGGGGTAGTCTCCCTTGGAGGCGGAGATGAGTAACTGCCATAGCATAAGGGAGACCTTCTGCCTCTTTGAGGCAACGGATTTCACGTTCATTTAAGTAGACCTGGCAACGGCGGGAGTACGAAGATGGAGGTTGACTGCAAGATGTATTAGAATGGTCGTCGGCACCACAGACTGGGCATTCGGCCATAGATCTGCAATATTTCACTGGGTGACCAAAACGCCAGCAATTTCTACATTGTTGCGGTGTAGGTATCACCTTTCAAACTTGTAACCGATGTCCCGCGACATATACAGAGGATGGGAGTTCTCGGCTGTCAAAAGTTAAACGAGCCACATTGCAAGGGTAACGTCTCCGCCCCCGGGCAGGAAAGACATAAGTGTCTACTTTGAGGATTGGGAGATCCTGGAGTTCCAGCTGTTCAAGAATGTCATTGCCACATGACTGGAAATTCTGTTGGACTATGGTATGGGGCAGAATGACAGTACCACTACAAGAATTGAGAGAAAGATGTTTTTCAATAGTGATAGTAGTAGTAGTATCGATATTCGAAAGGAGAGGAAGATCATGAGCTTGGGTAGCATTCTGGACAGTGATGATGCGTGTACCGCTCTTGAAAGCATGAAATGAAATATCTCTACCAACATGACGCAGGAGGGCTTTGCCAATACTATGGTCAGAAAGGTAGGCAGAAGAAGAAGTCGGTCTTAAAGTAAAGAATTTAGTCCATTGTGTGGTCCGAAACCGAGCGTGGAGAGGGAGTGCTTGACGTGTTGGTCTTTTCCGAGTAGAATGGGAAGGTAACGAAGGAGCATCATCAGGAGATTGACGTTGGTGTTAAGGAGTAGGGCCGGAGTTGGTCCGGCGTGAAATGGACGGGCGATTCGAAAATTGCCGTACCGTAGAGGGAGAAGCCGGAAGCATAGTCAAAGGAGAGCGGAGTTCAGACAAATCAAAGGAGTCAGTCGAAGCCCCGGTACCTGAAGCGGGTGAGGAAACAGCACCAGCAAGAGGTACAGGGGCATCAGGAGTGTCCGAAGAGTGGTCTAAACACAAGGCAGGGTCAGAATGGGGTGCGGTATCAAGAAGGGGCCCGGGGGTAGTGGGTTCATGGAGTGGGTTCTCCATGGTTAGGTTACTCCTTTGCTTTTTGTTTTTAAGAAAAAAATAAAAAAAGAATAAAAAAAAGGGGGGAGCGGGGAGGAATAGTTCCCAGGAGGAATGAAAGGGCTGGAAATCTCCCTCCGCGCCCAAGAGGACCTCAGCACCGCTAGTAGCGCAGATGCAGCATGGAACCCGTGCCATACCCTACCCTTCATGCCAGTAAACCAGCAATCTGGGATAGCAACCTCACATCTGCCGAGCTACCTCGGTGGACAAAAGAGAGGGCGGCCGGATATCCGCCACAAAGCATACCTCCTTCGGCCACCACCCCCGGAATCCGAAAGGTGGCTTCCAGAGATACACCCATTGCCGGAAAGACACCCAAAGTTACTCTGGGATACCGGAGAGGGATCGGGACATCCCCAGGCGATCCAGATTCCACGACAAACTATGCCACCGCCAAGAACCTCAACGGAATGGGATGGACCCCGGTGTCCTTTCCTCTACCTAGGAACTAGCGCGCCTGTGGGAGAAATCCCAAAGGCCAAAAAGAGGAAGGGCAAAAGGGAGGGGTGGGGAGGAGGAGGAGGAATGGAAAAAGGGGAGGGGAGGATGGGATAGGGGAGGGGAGAATGGGGGTTAATTAGGTTCGGTCTGAGGAAGAAGGACACATGAAAAGCTGATGACTGAGTGAATGTTGGTGAACTTTTTTGTATTTGGGTCATCCTACTTTGGCAGGAGATGATTGCCAAGTTAAAAATAAATAAGAGCATGTGTGTGTTATTTTGTTTGTTTATTTACTTACATGATTGTAACACTTTACAGTTATGACTATATTGATCAGTTAAACATTTTAATTTATTTTTACAATAAAAAATTCAACCTAGAAACATAATTCAAATTCATTTATTTCTTTGCAAGTAATACATTGAGATTGTGTGTTTACAATAATGGGTTGCAATGCAAAGAGAGCCTCTGTTATGCCTAGGCATTATGGGCCGAACTTAATTTAATGGATTACTGACTACTTAACACTAAAGAAATTTATCATAGTTGTACAGTAGTTCTATTAATTACAGTGAATAATTTATATAAACCAAAGGATATATTCATATATTCTAAAATGCTTATTGTGAAACATGATTCACTTATATCCTGCCAATAAATAACATAAAAAGGGCACAATACCGTGACTGGAACGATGCACATAGAAGAGAGGAGCCTATTGTCAACAATGGACAATAGGTTCAAAAGTAAATATTGAAATTATATTATGGGAATATTGGGATGAAAGAGTAACTTACTGACTTGTGTATGCAGTGTTAGTAAAACATTACTGTACCTTTTCAGAGCTGAATCAGAATTTACATTTTCCCGTTGGATGGAGGTAATAGCAACTGCCACACAAAACTCTGCAAGAACTCGTCTGTTCTCCAGGAAAGAGAGTGAGAATGAAAGCATCAGGCTGTGAAGTTGAATACAGAAGGGTTTTGTGAACAGTACTGTCATAACTTCATTGCATCACTGCCCAAGGAAGCATCTCGGCAAACTTACATGCCATTGTTAATATAGGTTAAAAAAGTGCATAAATTATCTTGTGTTTTAAAAGAAATTGTATCATTTAATAATCACTTGGTCTCTGTAGACTAATAATTTTCCTAATGTCAACAGTGATTTTCAAATTAACCATATTAAGACTCCAATGCAGATTTTCTGTTTTTTATCAAGTTAATTTTATATGCCATAAATCTGGGATAATAAGGAAATGCCATGTTATATCTGCATAATAGCCATGAAGTAGCAAGGTTTCCTCGTGTGTGTGTGAGAGAGCATGTATGTACGCATGCTTGTGTGCACGTGTGTGTGTGTAATTTTGCAGAAGTTAAGAACTGAGAATGAGGATCCTTTCTCTTTTTTTTTTTTTATTTGCAAGCGTATTTTAATTTAACAACTAAAAGCAGGTTGTAAAGTAAATTGTTTACAAACTGTTCAAGATGGTTGATGCCTCTCAAATTGTTTAATATTTTTATAGTACTAAGAAGTTAGTGTAAATACTGTATTTTAAATATAGGTGAAGGCCTACCCCTCCAAAAAATGTTAACTATTACAAATTTTATGTATAAATTATGTCTTGTATAAGTAGCATTTTTGCATAGGCTTATTTTAAAACAAAGTATGTATACCCTTTCAAGAATTATGACATTTTGTTTACATAGTGATGACTGCATATCACTTGAGTTTTACACAAAAATGCATTTTCATTAAAAGAAAGCCATGATATTTTGAAGAAATTTCATATACAAGATTGTACAGTGTAATATTTAGAATATATTTACAGTTTTGATGTAGAGGACCAAGCAGCTAAATCTTGTTCATCAAGATTTATTTCACAAATTGAAATTTGTTAATATTTTGACAAATGCCAAATCATATCATTTTTCTACTATCATTGAGGTTGAGGATTTGTGAGTAAATTTTAATAGTATGAAAGAGTGCTATTTAATATTATGGTGCATCAGTAAAATGTAGATAAGTTTGCTAATGGGAACCCTCTTACAAGAAAGTTAGCAGTGAGGTTACAAACGCCTTGTTAGCAACAGCAAATGTAGGTTGTGTACCAATAAGTTATTGCTCGTTAGAAAAAAAAAAAAGCATACAATTGTTTATTGCTTACACTTCATAAATATATTCATTTATTGACTCTAAATTTGGTTTAGGTAGTTTATGTATATGTTTATACTGTTATTCAAAGTTGTGATTAATATTATTAGATAGAATTCATTCTTAGTGCTGGAATTTACCAGTTCATATTATGTAAGTATTAGAGAATTATTTGGGGGTCCTAGTCCATAATAGTCATTGGTGAGAGATGTTCGTATAGCATCATAGTTGTCAACTAAATGTGTACCAAAAAATTTATAAAAAATCCATTCATAGAATCTCACGTTTTTTTTAATTTTAGTCTTTATATGATTTACTGTTATAGTGGGTACAATAATAATGCTCTTCAGTTCAACATTGTCAAGTGTGGCATTTCGTCGTATTTAATAATTAAGGTTAAAAAAAATTTGTCATCCGACCATAGAACATACTAAAAAATTAATCTGGATATATTTTGAATCAATAATAAAAACTTTTCTTTCTCAAGTGTGCCATGATCTTTTTGAAACCATACAAACTCTGTTGACATTAAATAAGCTTTATCAAAGTGTTGAGATTTCAGATGAAAAGGCTTTCTCCTTTTTTTTTTTTTGTCAAAAATTGATTTTTCATTCTCATGCATGTTGTGCTCAAATGTTTTAAACTGACCTATTATTTGTTTGTAAATTTTCTTCACTTGCATTGCCTTGACCCTGCCTTACCACCTTAGATCTGTATTATTGCAATAAATAATAGAGCTAGTTCTTGAATTATTTAGTGAGGACTATTCCCCAGTAATAACATTACACATTTTCAATGAATATTTGTACAAAGAGTTCTTAAGAAGTTGCCAAGTCAAAATATAGATTTCTTTGTTTAATTACTAAACAGAAAATTTAGAATATTGTTTTAGCCTGTTAACTGTCCAAATGTTGAGCTACGTTTTCACTGCTAGTGCTTGAAATAGTTTGATTTAAAAAAAAAAAAAAAAAAGGGCAATTTTGTTTAAAAAAAAAAAAAAATTTTTTTTTTTAGGATAAGTACTTACCAAGATACAAGGCCATGAAGTTCGTGCTGGATGATCATCTGATGTTATACCTTTTTTCCTTTTTACTTTATATAATTTTTATGTTCTGATAACTACAATTTATAGTAGTTCTTGCAATTTTATGGCCAATCTCTGTTCTGACACTAATATTAGGTACTGAAATAGTAATCATATAGTCACAAACACACTGAGAGGTAAACATTTTCACCTACTGGTCACATACTTCCTCTTTCAACAAACCAGCTGTATCCTACCAAGGCAGGGTGGCCCAAAAGAAAAAATGAAAGTATCTCCTTTTAAATTTAGTAATATACACAGGAGAAGGGGTTACTAGCCCCTTGCTCCCGGCATTTTAGTCGCCTCTTACAACACACATGACTTACGGAGGAAGAATTGTTTCACTTCCCCATGGAGGTAAGATGAAATGAACAAGAACAAAAACTAGAAAGAAAACCCAGAGGGGTATGTATATAGGTGCTTGTACATGTATGTGTAGTGTGACCTAAGTGTAAGTAGCAAGATGTAGCATATTTATGAGACAGAAAAGTGACCAGCAATCCTACCATCACAAAACGATTACAGGCTTCCGTTGTACACTCACTTGGCAGGATAGTATTACCCCCAACCTACTACCTAGGTGGTCACATATTGTCTAGAAATATATGACTGAATGACCAAGTTAGACACTCCAGTACAACCATCAACTTCTGTACCAGAACCTCTACCATCCATCTCAAACCAGTAGGGCCACAGCATAACTCTCCACTCTCTTCACAATCATCCACAAACACCAGCACCCACAATTTAAGGTAAGAAATACTGTTATTTGTTATATTTGTAGTCTTAAGCAGTAAAAACAACATAATACATCACAATAATGAACTACAATTACATCATCTTTCTTTCAACACACCGGCTGTATCCCACCGAGGCGGGGTGGCCCAAGAGGAAAAACGAGAGTTTCTCCTTTTACATTTAGTAATATATAAAGGAGAAAGGGGTTACTAGCCCCTTGCTCCCGGCATTTTAGTCGCCTCTTACAACACGCATGGCTTACGGAGGAAGAATTCTGTCCCACTTCCCCATGGAGGTAAGAGGATTATTATAATCAAAAAGAAGCGCTAAGCCGCAAGGGCTATACAGCGCTGCTGGAGGCAAGAGGAGATAAACAAGAACTAGAAAGAAAATAGAAGAAAACCCAAAGGGGTGTGTATATATATGCTTGTACATGTATGTGTAGAGTGACCTAAGTGCAAGTAGAAGTAGCAAGACGTACCTGAAATCTTGCATGTGTACGAGACAGAAAAAAAAGACACCAGCATTCCTACCATCGTGTAAAACAATTACAGGCTTCAGTTTTACACTTGCTTGGCAGGACGGAAGTACCTCCCTTGGAAGTTGCTGTCTACCAACCTACTACCTACAATAGATAGAAAGATTATTATTAGTATTATAATCAAGGGGGAAGCGCTAAACCCGGAGGATTATACAGCGCCTGGGGGGGGGGGATGTGGAAGGCATTCAGGCTTAATTCGGGGAACTGGAGCACAGATCCAATTCCCTAAATCAAGAGCCCCTCACCAACATCAAGGAACCTTCCTTGAGGGGATAGATAGAAAGAATATATTTCTTTCAACACACCGGCCGTATCCCACCGAGGCAGGGTGGCCCAAAAGGAAAAACGAAAGTTTCTCCTTTTACATTTAGTAATATATACAGGAGAAGGGGTTACTAGCCCCTCGCTCCTGGCATTTTAGTCGCCTCTTACAACACGCATGGCTTATGGAGGAAGAATTCTGTTCGACTTCCCCATGGAGGCAAGAGGAAATAAACAAGAACAACTAGAAAGAAAATAGAAGAAAACTCAAATTATTATTATAATAAAAAAGAAGCACTAAGCCACAAGGGCTATACAGCGCTGCAGGGCAGGAAGGAAGCGAGGGCATCAGTTGGCAAAAGGGAGATGGACGAGTAATAGGTTACGGATAACAGCGTGGTAATGGATGGTGAAAGGGTAAAGGGCAGCAAGAGACTGAACTATTATTATTATAATCAAAAAAGAAGCACTAACCCACAAGGGCTATACAGCAAGAGACTGAACTAGAAAGGGCTGAGGGGAGTGCGAAAAGTATCAGAGTTTGTGGAGTAACTCGGTCATTGTCAAGAAGTCAATGAGAGAGTCAGGATTAAAGGAGGGTTCATCAGCAAGAAGGGAAGGTAAAGAGAAAGTAGTAGAACGAAGACGACATTGGAGGTAAATTCTGTGTGCTCGTTGATAGAGAGGGCAGTCTAACAGAATGTGGCTAATCGATACTGGAACTGGACACTGCTCACAGAGAGGAACAGGGTGCCTCTCCATGAGATACCCACGAGTAAGACGAGTGTGGCCAATGCGAAGGCGGGAGAGTGTGGCCAATGCGAAGGCGGGAGAGAGTGGCCTCCAACTCGGCACTGATGCCCAAGAGCGGCCAGTAAACCTATGCTCGGTTTAATAGAATAAAGTTTGGTTACCGAGCAGAGCTGACCAACGTTGTTCCCAACGGGTGCAAAGGTGGGTAGCTATTGCAGCAAAATAGTCCAGAATGGAACACCTCGATGGGAAAAATTGGTAGGTCATGTACTGCTGACCCGCAGCAGTGTCTGCCTGTTCATTGCCCTGTATGTCGACATGACCAGGGACTCGACAAAAAACAATATCTTTATGTTTGGTAGAGATACGGCGTAGCCAAGTTGGATACGGAGAACTAGGGGACGAGATGTATAAAATTTCGTATAGCCTGTAGAGCACTAAGGGAGTCAGACTACTACAAATGATGACACAGTCAAAGATGCGATACGAATAAATGCTGCAAGAATGGCATACAGTTCAGCAGTAAAAATGCTAGCTGAAGATAGTAAATGCCCCTGCATGACGCTGTCCGGAAACACTGCTGCGAATCCGACGCCGTCTGAAGACTTAGAGCCATCTGTGTACACAGCGGTAGCATGAGAATGGGAGTGGAAGTGATAAAGAAAAAGAGAGCGGGAAGCCACCGTAGTCAGTTGAGCTTTCGAGCAAGGGAGTGTGAAAGAACGACCACAACAGCTGGAACTTTCCAGGGGGGTAGGGAAAAAAGCGAGATGCTACATGAACATATAAAGGTGGTAATTGAAGGGAAGACAAGAGTGAATGTAGGCGAAGAGAAAAGGGACGGAGCAAACAGGGGCGGCAAACGAATAAGAATGTCTACTAATATGGGTGACCATTCTAAAAATGGAAAGCATTGTGTAGATCGTGAGAGGTACATAGTAGCGAAGGCAATGGCAATTCACGGCGATCAGAACAAGGATGGAACATTCGCTTCTGTATAGAGGCTCTCAACGGGGGAAAAGAGCGAAAAGCACCAAGGCACAAACGTAATCCTTGGTGATGGATAGGTTAAGGCTAGAGAGAGTAGCAGGAGGGGGCCGCGGAATAAATCTGGTCACCATAATCGAGTTTCGATAAAACGAGGGCTGAATGTACGAGAAAGCAGATTTTCGACCATCAGCTCCCCGGGAAAAGATGAGCAAGGGTTTTAAAAAAGGTTTAGCCGGCTGTGACAAGTTGCCTTCAGAGAGGTAATGTGGGGTTTCCAGGATAACCGACGGTCAAAGAGAAGGCCTAGAAACTGACTATCATTTTTCGGGGATACGGGAGTCAGAGAGATAAAAAGGATGATCGGAGATAACAGAGGTCTAGTGAAGTAATTTGGCGAGTTTTGGTACTTGAAAATTTAAACCCATGCTGGTGGCCCAAGTGGAAACAAGGTCGAACCGCATGCTGGAGAAAAAACTGCAATAAGATGACAGTCAGCGCTGCACAAGCAATAGCGAAGTCATCAACATAGTGTGATGACCAAATATTGGGTGGAAGAACAGAGGCCAAATCTTTTATAGCAAGGAGAAAGTGTTGTGCTTAGAACACATCCCTGAGGGACACCTTCAGCTTGGACGAAGTCCAGGGAAAGAACTTATTGACTCGAACACGGAAATGTCTGTCAGTCAAAAGTTCAAAGGGAAGGATGGAAGAATTGCCTCGGAGGCCTAAGGAAGGGGCCCTTTGGGCCAAATATTATACCTCCAAGTTGTTTTCATTTGCCTTCTCAAGGCCCAAAAAATATGGCAATAACTGAGTGATTATTCGCAAAGGCATTACGAACATACAAAATCAAAGCAGGTAGTAAGGGGTCTATGGTAGAACGACCCTTATGAAAGCCATATTGACTAGCGGAGAGACTGTTTTTGTCTCTCTAAATACCACATTAAACTTCAATTTACGAGACGTTCCATCACTTTGCAAACTGCACTAGTAAGAGCGATGGGACGATAGTGGGAGGCATCATGTCCTGTAGTACCCGGTTTGGGGAAAAAGGGAGATTTCCACAGCTGGGAAAGAACTCCTTGTGCCCAAATAAAAATTGAAGAGGTGAAAGAGGACTACAAGGGCTGACCGATGTAAAATGTTGTAACATACGAATATGAATGTCGTCAGGCCCGCTGCCGATGATCGGCAAGCTGAGAGCGTTGCCTCTAGTTCTTGAAGTGTAAAAGGCACATTATACTGTTCTTCTCTGAGAAAAGAAAAGTCCAAGGGTACTAATTTCCTGGCAGACTTTGAGGAAAGAAACGAGGGGCAAAGATGGAGCCCTCGGAAATACGGACCAGATGTGTGCCAAGTTCAATGGCAACGTT